CCAAGCCCTAGTGCCTGATATAGTAAATAGAAGGGAAGCATGGAAGCTATAATCCAACACCAGTGGTTCAGCAGTAATCAGACTTCCATGTAGCTTTATTTTAAAACACTTCTATGAAAAATGGTGCAAAAAGCCTAGCACATTTTTGTGGACCGTTGTTTTAAAAATGAAATACCACTTATGCTCCTAGCTTTGTTGGTGTGGTGCCTTGGGGTATGAATGGATGGTTTGGGAGCATGTTTGTTTAAATAATAATTGAGATTAACATCCCTGAGTCTGTGTGGTTTTGGATTGAGTTTTAGCAGCCGGGGTTTGCTTTTGTTTTGCCAGTATTTTGTGCCAGTTCTTCAGCAGAAGTGCTTTTCTATTCAGATTTCACTATTACTAGTTCTTCCTCTTTCTCTCATTCACTAGACTTGACGATTGAGCTTTTCTTTATTTTGAGGCATGAATTTGCTGACTCCAAATTATTATGTCCTGACCTTGCAACTGGTGACATTTGGAAGTACAGTATAGAGATCTTTTGGCTTCAATGGGTCCCTGTGCTGCAGTAACTATATGTCTATTCAAATACCTTTGCAGGTGAGAACCTATCACAGTCGCCAAGCTCAAAGATTGCAACAGTTGGTGCCTCCACAAGGATGGCATCAGTTTCTCATAGTTATTGAGTTGACAACAGTGGTGGAAGAAGATGTGGGAAATGGAACCTTGTAGGGGGCCAGAAATATTTTTCTCAGAATGGTAGCCAGTACTATCTCTGCTCCCTGTGACATAGACTTGAATATTCACGGCCTTTTACAGTGGGAGGCAGAGTAACTGCTGTGGTAGTTTAATTTATATTTTTAACTTTTGCTTGATTGAGATGGGCACTGAGGTTGGTAACAGACTGTAGTGGTGTGGGCTGTCTGTCCTCAGGAATGTGAACGGTCTGCATCTGAGCAAATAAACAGACTCCAGGTCTTTCTGTCTGTCTAACACAACATGGCCTTTCTTTTTCCAGGATTCAGTAGCAGTCCAATAATAGTCCCCATAAATGTGCTTCTCTTCCCAGGATTATTAAAAAGAAAATCTGTTCCCTTCTCGGGTTCAAGCAAGAGTGCACCATTTGCTCTTCTCTTGGGCCTGGTCTCTCCCCTAACAGAGTCTCATCACTTACTTACTTCTGCTTTTGTACTCAGCAGCTGGGCCTGATTAGGGTTGCCAGGTGTCCGGTTTTCGACCGGAACACCCGGTCGAAAAGGGACCCCGGCTGCTCCGGTCAGCGGCGCAGAGGGGGCCCGTGGCTAAGGCAGGATCCCTGCCTGCCCTAGCTCCACACGGATCCCAGAAGTGGCAATCAGGTCCTTGCAGCTCCTAGGCACATGGGCAGCTAGGGAGGCTTTGCACTCTGCCCCTGCGCCTAGTGCTGGCTCCGCAGCTCCCATTGGCCGGGAACAGCAACCAATAGGAGCTGCAGGAGTGGCGCCTGCAGGCACAAGGGCAGTGCACAGAGCCTTCTTGGCCACCCATGCATCTAGGAGCTGCAGGCACCTGGTGGCCGCTTCCTGGGAGCCGTGGTAAGTGCTGCCAGGACCCCGAACCCTCTCCCGCACCCAAACCCTGTGCCCCAGCCCGGAGTCCCCTCCTGCACCCAAACTCCCTCCCACAGCCCGCACACCCCAACCCCCAGCCCTCTCCCACACCCCAAACTCTTCATCCCTGACCCCACCGCAGAACCCGCACCTCCAGCTGGAGATCTCACCCCCCTTCCGCACCTCAAACCCCTTCCCCAGTCCAGTGAAAGTGAGTGAGGGTGAGAGAAAGCGAGCAACGGAGGGAGGGGGGATAGAACAAGCGGTGCGGGGGTGTTCAGTTTTGTGCGATTAGAAAGTTGGCAAGTCTAGGCCTGATAAATTATTGGGACTAGCTGTCTGTGGTCCACACCCCTTATTCCTTCCCTGTCTGTTTCTGCTTCTCAGAGTGAATAGGAAATCAGAAGGTTGGGCTGAGGCCGCCCATGTCAATCCAAGGCCCAAGGTCCTGGATGGGTAGTAGTATGCCCTGCTATATAGACTTACAGCCTGTGAAAGTAGAATGGGGAGGGGAACCTCATAGAACAAGGACTCACTAAAGGAGGAAAAGAGGACCAGATTTTCAAAAGAGGCCTCTAATTTTGTGTTCGTGTTTTTGATCAACTACAGATGGCATTACATTTCAGGAGAAAAGCAATGAATGTTGATGTCTGGCTGATTGCATCTGTGACGCTGCCTGCTCATTTGTGCCCACAGGTGAAAGAGGGCACAAAATTAGAGGTCAGGTTGAGGCCTCTTTGAAGTTCCTGTGCATCGGTGAGGTTTCAGAAGCATTGATAGCTTATCAGATCCCTGCTACTTTTATTTATTCAGATTTAATCATATAAAAAGATGCTCAATCAAGTGTCTAGGTGCCCTTACATCATAGAAGTCCCAGCAGCATTAAAGTAATGATGTCAGAGGAACATAGCCGGATACCAACAGAATTTCCTTTCCATTTCTTCCTTGTTATGGGAGGCATAGCCGCAGCCTTCTTACTTTTACTGATCATTCACAATATTTTTGTGAGAAAGAGGGATATCTCCTCCCCAGTTTTCCATTGCCACCACCATCCCCAGCCCCAGAATCATGTGATCTCATAGCAAAGTCAGAATGTTGAATTAGTGCCCTCCCAGTAATTCCCAGAGCAGCATATTATTCTGCCACCAATGCAGGATTATGACCTCATTGCAAGATCAAGCAGTAGGAGAAGCTGGGTTGTAAGAGAGAACGCCCTCATCCAGATACTGATATCTGAAATGGCAGCTAAGGGAGCCCAGCAATGGGTTGTGTTGTTTCTATAAATGGTCCCTTTTGCCAAGCTTGGCCTAGTGTAATATGTTCTTTTAAAACAAGTAGAGGGACAGGCATTTGGACTGGGTGTACCAGGAGCAGGAGATTGAGAATGGCAAGGCTTTGTGTGGATGTGTTTAGGGGGATCAGTAAGTCCTCCTGGGTTTTGGATTTTCCAGCGCTGCTTTCCTGCCTAGGTTTTCAAATACCTGAATTGACAAATAGACCAAGCAGTTTGACAGGGAGAGAGAGAAGTTTTTTTGGCATTCGAGGACCTGTCCTTTGATATGCGTAAGCCTCCTCTAGTCTGCTTGGAGCTATAATTGAGGCTACTGTCTTGACTGATTTTTACTAATGAGGTCTACCAACAGTCACCAGCCACACAATGGTTCATTTTCCAGTTTGGAGTGAATGTTTGCCTGTTTGACAATCAAAAGACTAGCATCTTGGGGAAACCACTCTCTTCAATGATTTCACAACCATTGTGTGGTGGAGGCACAGCTTCTCAGCTGAACTTCTCTCTGAGTGTTACTGCATGCACCCTCCTGATACTAGTATCTCTTTTCTGGCCTCATCTGGATCTTTTTTCTATGGTGGCACCAGTCAAATTATTGGTAACTTTGTTAAGTTTGGATGCATGCAGTGGAAAATACAGTAGGAAGATATATATACACAGAGAACATGAAAAAATGGGTATTGCCATACCAATTAAGGTGGGTAATAGCCCACCTTAATTGATTAGTCTTGTTACAGTTGGTATGGCAACACCCATTTTTTCATGTTCTCTGTGTGTATATATCTTC